TCAGACATCCCCTCACATGTTTTTATTTGCAGGTATCTTACCCAATAATTACCCAAGTAAATGTAACTAGTTTGTACCCATCTCTCGTTCTGAATTGATTACTACTTTGACAAACTATTATTTATTGACGCCAGTCACAATATGCTTCCTTTTGTTTGTTTTTTTCATTCTTTTTCTTATATTTAAAGGTTTAAACTTCCATTTTCTCTTCAATATAATGCTAATAAATCCATCTGTGTCTTCGAAAGTCTGGTTTTATGGAGCCTTGTAGCTCATGATAAACCCTGGAATCCATGAACACAATGTCCTAATTGTAGACCATGGCCTGCACACTGAGGTGGGAGTTGGATTCCCCGTTTGCACTACATGCAAAGGCTGGAGCAAACGTTTCATCAACATACCAACACAAAGCAGCCTACTGGTTTTATTGGGAGGCGGAAACTTTCACAAACAGGACATTGATTTTGAGGAGAAAACTGAGAATTTTTGTAACAGTTCTCATGACCGTCCTGCAGCAATCAGTTTGCAATAGTTTGTTGTGATGTCGCAAAAATGGGATAATAGTTCTCTTAGCTCGCAGATGTATTCAGCAAATATTTGTTCTTGGGTGTAGTACTGTTTGCTATGCAAATACAAGTGGATGAGCAGTTCCGGTTGTTGTTAGAGCTTCTGTGGAAAGCTTGCACTAATATGTAATGATAATAAATAAATTACACTAATATGCTAGATAAAATACTTTAGCAATGCATTTACCTGCAATGTGTATTTGATGTCTTGAAAATAGTTTGTCATGTGGACAACAAATAATAGGAAATAACTATAAGTCACCGACTTTTAAAGTTTTTGCAAAGGCTGTTGTCATAAGGAATAGGATATATACAGTTGGTACAGAAAGCATCTCTGGAGTGACCTGAAAATGGCGGTCCACCGACGCTCAGCATCCAACCTGACAGAACTGAAGAGGATCTGCAAGGAAGAATGGCAGAGGATCCCCAAATCCAGGGGTGAAAAACTTGTTGCATAATTTACCAAGAACACCCATGGCTGTACTAGCTTCTACTCAATGCCGAGCAAAGGGTCTGAATACTTATGACCAGGTGATATTTCAGATATTCTTTCTTAATAAATTAGACAACATTTCTACATTTCTGCTTTTTTCTGTCAAGAACCAGAACCTGTTCCTCTTTGGGTAAGTTCACAACCTTATTCTCTGTGGGTCCATTCATATCCAGAACCTGTTCAACTCTGGGTCTTTTCCAGAGATGGGAAGTAACAAAGTACAAATACTTCGTTACTGTACTCAAGTAGATTTTTCTGATATTTTTACTTTACTTTACTACTTATTTTTATGGCGACTTTTTACTTCTACTCCTTACATTTTTACACAAATATCTCTACTTTCTACTCCTTAAATTTTAAATAATTGGCTCGTTACTTTAGTTTTGAATCATTTC